GAGTTACTCACTACGACGTTTCCGGCGGGCACATTCCCGGTTAAGGTACGGACGTTTCGGGAATAATTGCAGTTTTAGTGTTTTTTATAATTAAATTAATCCAAAATGAGATTGTATTTGGGTCTGACTCTGGGGATTAGAATTAGAGAAGGTGAGTGGATGGTGACGTGGCGCTGGATAGCGATGTGAATGTCGGGGGGGTTGACCGTGATTTGTCCAGCACTAACAGAACAGGAAAGTGGTGTGAGTAATAATTTTTATTTTTGGTTTTGGTGGGTCAGGTGGCTATACCGGTGGTCCCTACAGTTCGAGTGGTGATTACGTTCACAAAGTTCGTGGAGCTGCAACCTTTGGAGCAATTCTACACTCCATTCTCGAGCCCTAGGCATTTGGTGAGTGATGAACAACATAAACCGGAAAACCGCGGTTCCTCCTCCACGTGGCTGAGACGGAATACCAGCGTGTCGGGTAAGCATCAACGATGTTCCTCCATGCCATTGGATTCGGACCCTTTTGCCATTCCCCCGGGTTATACATGGACCAGTGTGGATGATAAATCGCGTAAAATGAAGAAATCTAAGTCCCTCAGAAAGTCTAAGTAAAGTGCAATATTGTAGATTGTAGATATACCGTCTAATTTTTTACTCAACAAAGGTCGTTAGGGCTACAATATTTCTTTATCTCTCTTCATTTCATACATTCTTTTCTTTCAATTTCTTAATTCTGCATACTCGGGTCGGGTGCGGAAGGAAGTAGTGTGCATGTTAATTTCTCCTTGTAACTTATATCCAGAAATTAAAACTGGGGCAATGCACTTGCTTTGGAGTATCTATTACCTTCTCTTGCATGATGTTTTGGGGGTTGAGTGTCCCCGATTGGTTTTGGGGCTTGGCTCCCGTGTAGAGTATAGTGTCATCCAAATAGAAATTATCAAATCCTGGATTGCTTACATCAGTGGTCGTAGTTCATGCTTTTTAATTGGGAGGATTTTATTCCTATCCTTACCAACCATTTCTACCCTCGAATGGTCATGGGGAAAAATATTTTCAATTATTTATATCATCTCTATAATGTAATAATTCATTTTAATTTCTTAAAAATATATAATGTTATTTTTGGATAGCCATGTAATGTTGTTTTGACTATACTGACTAAATAGAGTCATAGTAATTTAGTCTTCTGACTATTAAAAAAAATATAAGTTTAATTACACTTTTGGTCATCAGAATTTCATAAATATAGTTAAAAAAATTATTTTTGTCTTTAAACATTATTTTTGTTCTCTTTATGTTTGTCTTTTAAGAGATTGAAAAGAGAAAATTTATGTAACTAAAAATTGAAAGAATTTTTTTTTACAACTATAAAACTAAAAAAAAGTATTTATTAAAGGGAAAATTTATGAAATCATAAAAGTTATAATAATAATTAAATCAAGAGTATATTTACTGTCTCAACTCTTGTTCATTGAAAAGTTCAGCATAAATTAAGTATTGACATTAGTTAATTAATTTTGTCACGGTCTTAAAAAGTAGGTTTAAGTATATTTTTAGTCTTTTAAGTTTAAGATAAATATATTTTTTGGTTCCTCAAATTTAAAATTGTTATTTTTAATCTCTGTAATTATCAAAATTTAAGTCTAGCAAAAATATTATTATAGTATCACAAATTATTAATAACATATCTGAAAGCAACAAATTAAGACGGTTATGTAATATTAATTAAATTTAATGTGATATTTTCAATAATATAGACATCAATAGATAGATTTTATGTAATAATATTTGATAAATTTTTTAACAAAATTTGAATATTAGGACTAAAATAAGATTTTTTAAAATTACAAGAACTAAAAACATCAATTTTAAATTTTTTAAGGGATTAAAAATAAATTTACCCTAAATTTAAAGAACTAAAAATATATTTAAGCCTAAAAAGTAATATAAATTTGATCTTGAAGATGGAAATTTTAATATCGACACCGACTTTTTTATATTATTCTTGTATATATTTTTATTATAAAAGCGAGAAATTCAAATAAGTTATTATCCCCTTTTAATAATAAAAAGTGAGGTAATATGAAAATAAATCATGTGAAAAAAATAATTTTTATTATCCCCTTTTAATAATAAAGAAGTGGTATAAGATGTGATGAGTTCATTTAACAAGGACTAGAGAACAATCAATCAGTTTCAAGCATTAAGGCGCAAAGAGGCTTGAGTTGTGTTATGAATTTGGAAGATGAAACCTATAATAATACATAATCCCTTAACCTTGAACATTAAAGCATGAAGATGATTGGATTTAGAAGTCGTTCACTCGAGCATGAAGTGAAGTAATACATAACTTTTTAACTTTAATGTCAGGGAGTTAATGTGATAATGGGGACTGAAGTGGTACACTTTCTTATTTTATATTTCTCTTCCCTCAATTTCTGTAAAAAAATAATAATAAATTTTTTTTTATTGTAATATTGTATGTTTTCGAGTAAAAAAATTAACAATAAAGTTAATTTTATAAAATTATTATTTATTTATTAATTTTTCTTAATGTTTATCAAAAAAAACTTAAAATATATATAGAACATAACGAGTAAGATAACACATAAAGAAAATGTTTAACTAGTTTAATAAGTCTTTATTATTATTTTTTATTTATATAACTTTTTACTAGTGGTAATTTTTTCTGTTTTTCTTCAAATATTTTTTCATCAATTTTATTTAGTTTTTCTTTTTCTTCTAACGTAAGCTTATATATCTTTGACTATGATAGCATATTTTGTTTGTTTTAAAAATAATTAAAAAATGAAAAAATTACACACACACATATATATATATATATATATATATATATATTTTCACGAGACTATATAATAAGAG